TTTAAAACATCAATTGGGTAATTTGTTACTAATTTCCGCTCTCTTCTTTTTTATATATTTTTAGGTAGGGACCCTATATGTATAGAATCTATAGATCTAAAATTACTTAATTTTAAAATGGTAAAAATTTAACAAACAAATTTGTCATATGCACACAACGTTAAACAGGGCTAATGTAAAAAGAAAATGAATAAACATAGGTACAATTACATGCTTGAAAGAGCACAGTCACGTCAACTTGATTATTGGAAATGTATATGTAAACTTACGAATTTTTCACTAAAATAGTATTAAAATAATATAATATTAATTATAAATAATCAAAACAAAACAAAACCTAATAAGTAATCAAGGTATACAAAATGAAGTATGATTGTTATTCTATATAGATTGTTTATCATACGGACACGCATCTGACCGGAAGGTGCGCACGCGCTGTTTCCTGTCACTGTCGCTACGAACTGTCTAATGAACCGGCACGGTCCATTGTTTAAAATCTTTCCTTATATTCATATTAGGGTCATCGAACAGGCATTATAGATTATGTTCCTTTAATGGACGCTTATGCCTTTATTAGGTGTAATGGGGTCTTTGACGAGTTCCGTGCGTACATAAATTGAGAAGATTAACATGAAAAAGCGAGAATGCTATGACAGAAATACAGAATAGTTACAGGTTTACGTCGTTTAAATATTTAGAAATATGTACTAACAAAAACCAAAATTAATGTCTTAAATGTTTAATTAATATTTTCTTAGATTTACGCGAATATTTGACATTTTAAATAAAACTATCTTTTCGGATTATTTAGCGGATTTATTTTGAATTTTGATTTTCGACGTTTCGAATGCTCTACAACATTCATGGTCTCTCCCGTGACCGTTACTATTGAAATAAGATCTGTCATATAACTCAAAACTTATCATTGGACAGAGTGAAATAAGCGAATGAGCAGAAAATCAATAAAATACGCAGAAAATAAATATAAGTAAAGTAGGAATTTTTTGTTTAATATTTTCATTTAATTAGATCAAATGTCGTCCAGAAAAAATAACTTTCAAAAATATTTCAGAAGCTAGTCATTAATTAATAATTGTTTAGTACTTACATGTGAACGCAAATTTTGTTCCTTAATAAAATACCAATGTGGCCATATCGCAAGTAAAATGTATTATTTACTTTGTTACGACCGGCATCGTCAGTTTGACTTCGCAATATAAAACTTGACTGCTTTGCGAAACGATGAAAGCAAATTGTAGATGCGTTGAATTCATCAACTGCATGACATTTTATAACATTAAGTTTTAAGTGTATATGTAACATTATGTAAGCTTTAAGTTTTTTAAATATTTTCGTTTCAATACTATATTTTTCACATGTGAATGAGAAAGCGGTAAAATTTATCAAGAATCAAATCATGAAGTAATAAGCCTCTTACATATTACATTACAATTTTATTTATTTATAAACATTAAGTTGAGCGTTTTTTTAACGAACTGGATTTAACAATATTTTGTTGTTATTAAATATGATTAAGTATTTCGGTTATAGTTATATAGTTATAAAACAATTATGTAAAACGTAAATAACTTTAAAATTCATGAACTCAGGAATATTCTTTAACGATACTAGCTTTTAGCGGTAGGTACTTGTAGAGTGTCCGGTCAAAAAGTGAAAAGTGTTCAAATATTAGCATTGAAAAAGATTTTTTCGAAACGTTTTTAGTGATATCTTTAATTGAATATTTATCTGAATTGTCAATATAAGATTTAAATCTAAAAGGATAAGATAAAAATATAAAAAAAAACACAATAATATACCTAATTTTAATACCTTCTAAAGGACAAACGCGGTAAATAGGTACGTTAAATGTAAAGAGTTCTGATAAGCTAAGTGCTTAATTAGATAATTTAATTACTGATAAGCTGAAAACAAGAACTAAAGCTAGACTAATTCATTATTGGATTATGTATAAGATTTTAAAATCATTTAATTAATATGCATATCTATTATCTACATATACTAATATTATAAAGAGGTAAAGTTTGTGAGTTTATGCCGTTGTAGGGGGGTAATCTCTACTGAACCGATTTCTAAGAAATTTGGTAAGAAGATAGTTTGAGACCCTGAGCAGGACATAGGATACTTTTTATCTCGAAAATCATCCCTTAAGGGGATGAAAATGGGGATGAAGTTCGTATGGGGAATCAAGCTAGGGACGAACGCGAGCGAAGCGAGGGTGAGTCGCTAGTGCATTATATACCAAGTGACAACCAAATAGAAATGCATTTATTAGAACGTGTATTACTGTAAATGGCGTCATTCGTGAAATATTTATTTTGGGACTTGGCTGGATTCCGAGGCCACCTTGAATCGAATTACTAATAACTAAAGCATATGTGCAAGAAATAATTTAGATTTTTTTATTTTTATATGTATAGATAATAGGCATGATGGTAATAAAATTAAATAATGACCGTGATAGCCGTAAATATTTAATATGTTATTTTTTTTTACTTCAAAGTTTAAAAATTTCCTCTAAAATTTCAGAAAATTAAAAATAAAAAGATATATATAGTTAAAACGCTCAATATAATAGCAAAATATTACCCGTAAATATTTCTGAATGTTTTATTTTAGTGGTAGTTTAAAGGTAAACAGTGATAGACAGTCTCACATGGGCACCTCCGGTAGGTATTGAAACGGTCTTTAAACAAATTATTATGTATCAGTCAATATAAATATTTATCTCATAGTGGGGTATAAGAAGCGACCGTCAATGCTATAAAATGTGTTTGTGAGTCGCACATTATACAGACTAAAATAAGGTCGAGTCATCAAGACGACACAACATAGTGATTAATCCTTGGAATTAGTTTCTATTTTCAATGTATGAGGATGTTCATAAGGTAAATAGATTTCAAGCGGGAACAACATTTTTGGATATATTATATAGGTTTTGTGAAAAGGTGCTCGTAAGTCAATTTCCATGTTAAAGATCTCGTAAATATTTTGTTTGTTTATATTTATCTTTAAAGGCAAAATTTCAGTAACGCGTTTTTAAAATAATGATATCATATTATTTTCGCTATTTTATGATATAATATTATATACGGCTGATATCTATATCATAATATGTGTACAATACATACTATGTACAATAATTTCACATGTTCATGTATGTGTGTCCTTACATAAACTGTTTTGTTGGTAGCTTTACTCAATATCGTCAGGAAGGAAGTTGACATAATTGCTATCACGAACGAAACATGGTGACTTGCCAATGACACATGATAACATAACGAGTTTACCAAGACTATGAAGTAATTTTCTGTGAAAAACGTGTGTCTTATCAACTTCTTTAACAACGAAAAACTAAGTGGCTTGTCTCACGTGACAGTCAAATGGTTACTGTGTTTCTGAATTATTAGATACTAGCAGAACCCGCGGCTCCGCTCGCGCTAAAACTACAAAAAAAAACTCTTAAAAGATAGTTTCATACAAAATTTCATCCTCTATTTTACCCCGTTATGGGAAGATTTTCGAAAAATGCTAAAACACGTATTTATTTAATTTTATTGAAGAACATTAATACCAAGTTTCCAGTAATTCTGATCAAAAATATTTTTTTGGATTGTATTATAAAGTGTTTCCCCGTGGGAATTAGGTGAACTCCCGGGGTAAAAAGTAGTCTATATCACTCTCCAGCCATCCCCACACAAAAGATCACCCCAATCCGTCACTCCGTTTCGACGTGAAAGAAGGACAAACAAACATACACACTTTCACATTTATAATATTAAAGTACATATTTTTACTCAAGTAGTAGTTTAAAGATATAATTAGTGTCTATCTATATAAGTAATCTATGGTATTTTTAGCTGTCATCCACTCAATATAATACTTAGTATAAATTAAGTATGGTAGATTAGGCGAAATTCAAAATTAATATTGTAAATATTCGACGACATTCCTTCTTGAATAATCTTTAAAGTTGAGTCCTTCTTACTTGTGTAGAGAAAGTAGAGAGGCTCCTACTTAAGTTCTCTACTAAAGAATGTAACGTTGCGTCTTGGCCTAATGACATGCGGTCTGTACGCATCGATTGATTGATCATACTTTTATCTGATATTTGATTGGTTGTGACAAGTAAAATAATCTTTCTATAAATAAATACAAATAAAAAAAACAATATAAACAATAGAAAGATATAAAAATATTTGTACCTAATCTACAAAACTCATAATGATGATTTCTTTACTACAAAGTAATCGATATATATTAATTCTAATGCACGCACATAACTATTCAATTTATTTTTATTATAACACTAGCATTGCCCGCGGCTCCGCCCTCGTTCAGATGACCAAAACTAAATTCTTAGGTTTTACATATTAATATACTCTTATATTGCAGTTTTCGTATTTTTTCTCAGAAATGAGATATGTTTCCGCTGTAAAAAGTATCCTATATGTTGACCCGGATAACCAGCTATCATCATACCAAATTTTATCAAAATCCCTCCACTGGTATTTCTGTGATACGATAACAGACAGACAGACATAGGGACGGACGGACGGACGGACGGACGGACGGACAGACAGGCAGGCAGGCAGGCAGACAGACAGACAGACAGACAGACAGACAGACAGAAATTCGAACACCTATAGATTCGACCTCTGTATCGATAATAATGTTTATTTCAAATAAGATTTTCTAAAAAATATTTAACTTACAGATTCGGCTATGTTACAATTTTATTATATGTATTAGATTGAAAGTACTGAATATACCAATATAAAGAAAATTGTTCCCTACTATTAAAGTTAGTCAATGTAATATTATGCAGCAAGTGTAGCAATGGCGGGACGAACTGCCGGTAACATAGGAAATTATACTTTTGTAATGGCGGTAAATTTATTTTTATAATAATTACAAATTAAGTTAAGAAATGAACGTAAAATGGGTTAATGTTAAGTTTTTTTTCAAACATTATGCTAAAATACAAGGGCTACTAATGCTAATTGGACGTAAAGACTGACCTTGTAGTTGAGACCTTGCACGTCCTCTTCAAGTGAGACATCAGAGTACATGTCGTCTGCCGGTTCCCCACCCGATCCACACCCGGATGAATTGAAGGATGACGACCGGTACAATTGGCTAAAACAATAATAATGCCTCACTCCATTAACTATTCAGGACACCTCAGGAGAAGAATTTGAATAGAACGTTTTTAATATGCACCATGCAGCGGCATCTATTTCTTAGATGTAAAAATAAAAACGCCATCTATTGTACGTCCACTTACTAGTTTCATGCGCTGTAGTATGATTTAGTTACGACTCGCTGCAATAGATGGCGCTTATCATGTACTATAAAAAGTTTATAATGCTAGTGTAACACTATAAATAAATCATTTTATGTAGATTTTTAGAATTAATTTATTTTAATTGTAACAACTTATGAATACGTAATAATTATATAATAATACTGCCCTTTTTAAAAATTTCACACTTTTCCAAGTGTGATAATTAATTAGCTTACAATTAGTAGCGTTCCACGAAGTTAACCAAGTGCGGGTTGATGGGCTATATGCTCATTTTCTGTTTCTCCTTCGCCATATTAGCAATTGGAAATCATATTTCGTATATGAGAAGCGCAGAGAGGCTAAACTCGGGGCTTGAACCCGCTTCAAACCCATCCAAAATAAAATTCTATTAAGTACATACATGAAAAGGATTGTGTATTATTATAGTAAAAAGTTTATGTCTAAACATCAAAAATACATGCCTCTCTACTTTTCTTACCATAATGTTTAGATTGAGCGAGAATTTAATATTTATTAATGACAACACCTATACTTATTATAATAATATAAACTATCGAAACTAAACTTTATATTATAAATTAATTGTAAGCAAACCGACAGACCGTTGACCGATCTTGGAGAAAGCATATTTTTAAAATTCTCTTTGTCGAAGTAAATAGTAAATGAAGTGTAAAATAATAATTACATATTATTTAATTGAAATAGTTTTGTTTTACCTGGCTAAGACATTGGAGCCGATTTGACGCTTCCCTGAGCTGAAACAACAAAATTAGAAAATTGAATAAATATTATTAACAGTGCAATAAAATAGAGAATAGAATAGTTGTTATAAAGTATTTGTTGAAAATTATAACAAAAACAATTGAGTTGTTAAGTCATTTCATCGTAAAATTGTAAAAGTAGGCTTCGGTGATTGTACAAGCGGCCATGTATGCGAGGTATGCGTATCACAATGGAAGAACATGATGTGAAGTGAGATATTATAAAATGAAATTACTATATTACTCTTATGAGTTCTCGGTGTAGAAAAGTGCGAAGTAACGACGTGTAGAAAGAAGGAAATATTTTTGCATGTCGAGCGCGAACAATTATCGCTTTTGTGTGCATCTGTACGTAAGTAATTATATTACGTAAAGATACTATTTCGAGGTTTTTAGTAGCAAACGTGTCTTGTTTTATATAATAAAACTTTATTAATTTTTATATTTTATATTATTTTGGTCACATGCATAAGTATTAAAAATAATTCTGTTATTATTTGAACTTTTGTTAAAAAAGTAGGTACTATCTGAAGTCAACGTTTGTATTTGATCGTATTTCAAAAGCAAATTAAATTGTACTAATTAAAAATTATATAAGTTAACGACCACATCTTAAATATATATTTTATACATAATAATTACACATGACGTGTTATAACTAATCTATGCTTGCACATAGGGGCGATGGTGAAATCATGGGTACGCGCACGCCATGAAATTGGGTAAGAAAGCGATGCATCGAAGCAATAAGTCGTGGTTGCGATAATTGCATCAACCTAACCATAGAGTTTTATTTCCTTTTGAATGTAATGGGGACATATAAATCAGATGGATACCTATATGTACGCCGGGGGTCATGCATTCGAGTCTCGTTCAGGACAAAACCTTATATTGGTCACAAAGCTTTATATTTGCCGCGGTCTGGTTGTGTTCGTATGTTTTGTGTGTTTCACGGGCCATCAATAAATAGAATATAATAGAGACCGTTGCGAGTGAAGCATTTTTTTAAAATAAATTTAATAAAAATAAGATACATTTACCTTTATACTTAATTATATTTTTACTCCATCATTAGAAAACTAACAGCAATTATTCCTTATTGAGTTTAATATGTAGTTTTTTATTAAATTTTCATAGAATGACTGTTATTATTATAAAACGATTATAGTTTTACTTACGAGTGCAATATTAATATTTAACATGACAGTATGACCAATAAACATATACAACCAATTTATAAATAAGTATATGTAAGAACTTAAATGCAATTGAGTATAACGACACTTTATATTTACATTTTGTATAGCGACTCACCCTCGCTTCGCTCGGGTTCGTCCCTAAGTGATTCTTTAAACTGACATGACTTTTTATTTATGAACTGATTGTAATGAAACAAATACTATATGTTAAATAAAGCTTACCAAAATATATTAGTGAAAATCATACCTAAATTAGTTAAGCCGTTTCTTAGATTAGCGCACACAAACGCACAGACAAACAGACAAAAATTCTAAAAATCATTGTTTTGGGTTCATTGCGTTAATAAAGACTCCCTATTATGGGTTTTCTCAAATATCTTGCATGTATAGACAGCGATCAGTTACAATTTTATTATATGTACCTACTTATATGGCTATCTTTTTAAATGTTCGGAATAGTCCGAATAAGGTTTACATATAAATTTACAGGATAAAATGGCTACCCGGGAAATTAGGAATTCGGGAGAAACAGTTCTTTCTATACGGTTAAATTCTTTGTGCACAGTACGACTCTTGTCGGCTATATTTTTATTATTATTTACTTAATAAAATGAAATTGACAGATAACGAGATACTCTTATTCAAACTATTATAATATATAAATAGCGACATGGTTTAAGTCGAAGCTTATGAAAGTTAATTCTATTTAATTAAATGGAACCAATTAGAGCAGTGCAGTGTGAGATTTACCGTGATTCGTAATGCGTGTGTTATCGTTATCCATCAAGTGTTACAATTTTGATACTTGGCCATTTTCTCTTTCAGCAATTACTCTGTGACGGTTGGTTGCTAAAACAGTTTGCGTGCTGGAAAAGTTATTTTGTTTGTTTGATATTGATAGTTATAGCATTATACATTATTAATATAATAAATATTATAGCGATAGGGAAATAAACTAACGACGCTATTATTACACACTAGCCACCTGCACCGGCTTAGTGAAATGTATTTTTTTTATTTTGACATTCTTACTTTTAACGTTATTAAGAACTAGCGACTCACCCTCGCTCTGCTCGGGTTCGTCCCTACTTACCTTTTAACGTTTAGTATAGATTTCTCAAAGATGAGAGAATTTCCCGCAGTAAAAAGTATCCTATATGTTGATCCGGATAACCAGCTATCGTCATACCAAATTTCATCAAAATCCCTGCAGTAGTTTCTCCGTGATGCAGTAACAGACAGACAAAAATTCTAAAAACTCTGTTTCGGCCTTTGTATCGATAATAATGTCTATTTTAACAATATTTTCCAAAAAACATTTAATGTACAGATTCGGCTTAGTTACAATTTTATTAGGTATATGTATAGATTACATATTTGATTTATTTATATAAACTAGCGGCTCACCCTCGCTTCGCTCGGGTTCGTCGCTAGGTACGTTTTAAATAGATATAAAAAGAAAAAATCTTTCTTTCTCACATTTTAATTATATGTTTTAATACTTACCTATTCCGGACTAAGAGAAATCCAAAAATTAAAATATCATAAAAATTGGAACGCGGTCGAACGGGATAAAAAGTATCCTATGTCCTTCTCCTGGCTCTAAACTACCTCCCTGCCAATTTTCAGCTAAATCGGTTCAGCCGTTCTTGAGTTATAAGCGAAGTAACTAACACGACTTTCTTTTATATATATAGATTAAGTAATATTACTTGATTTTTACATAGCATAACATAAGATTTAGCATTTAATCTTATATTTCGATACGTTGGTCTATTTAAAGAAATGATATTATTTCTTGTGTTCTTCAGTACAGTAAAACATGAAATTTTATAAGTTCAATTATATTTAAGCTGTAAAAACAAGATAGACAGACAATTATTTTTCACTTAATAATATTAGTATAAAATATTGGCACAAATTTAGAATTGGGGACTTGGCCCCTAGCGGAGTGGGTGGTATTTCTGGATAAGGGACGTGATAGGGAGTCGAAATGTTAAATAAAAATTGTCCGCGAACGTATGAGTAAAAAGTTATTGAGACTTAAAGTTACAACATTTCCATACATTTTCATATATTTCTTTACCACCATTCGGAGTGGGTGGTATTTTTAAATAGGGGAGGTGACAGAGAGTCAAAATATATTAAAAATATTTGGAGGAAACGTACGAGTAAAAAGTTATTGAGACTTAAAGTTATAACATATCTAACACATTTCCATACATTTCTTTACCTAAATAAGTGATTACAACAGATAAACATACCTTTAACGAATAGTACGCATCCTTTTTTATGTACAATACATATTTTCACAACAATTAATGCTTTATTGTATTTAATATTTTAATAATTTCACAACACAAACAAAATGATCTTACATTTTGACAAAAGCAAAACTGACACTTTGTTTTATATTACCGCTTAAATGACAACAGATTATATTTGATTATTTTTGCTTTTTCTGTTGGTAATATTAATAAATAAATTTTCATTTCATAAATACATTTATGATTTTTTATCTGATTTATGTAAAATATATTGTTTTACAATTGTACATTTAGTAAAAAAAAAACATTTTTTTATCTGTGAATATTTATTTATTATTCGTCATATCTGGGTTAGGTTAGGTTAGAACATTTATATAGGGGAGAAGCCAACTCCTACCGGGCGCGTCCCCAGGTGGCGGATAGGGGCATGCCACCCGCTTAGAGGGGCGGGTGGTACCGGAGAAATCCGGCGCGGACCAAATGGCTTGGATGGGGCCGCTCGTCTAGGCCTCGAGCCGAAGACGTTGCGGCCACCGGTGGTGGGACCGCTTGGTCCCACAACCGGATGATGGGTGCCGGTTGCGGGACTGTGGTCGCAGGCCCGCATTCGGTGGAGGGGTAGGCCGCGGTGGGAGAGGAGTGCCGGTATTTCGGTGCGCCGTTCTCCCTACCTTCCGCGGCCTAGACGGGGCCGCCACCGTTTGATGGCGGACGCGGTGGGGCTGCAGGGGAAGAGGAGTGTCGGTGTTTCGTTGCCGCTCTCCCTGTCCTCTGCAGCCGATTGGAGGTGGCTCACTTCGGTGGGCGGTGTTTTGGTTTTATGGGGCTGCTCCGGGTACGTCTCTGACGTAGCAGAGTTGACTGTGGAGCAGCCCCATTGGTTTGGTGGTCTGCCTAGTATTTAGGCAGACCTGCCGCCGGGGCGCCGTAGTAGTTATGCGCAAGCGATCCTGCGGCGTCCCACTAAGGCGGGGGGAAGGGATGTCGGGTTTTAGTGGGTAGTACCGGCTCTTCTAGCCGGTGAGCTCCACATCACCACCTGGGGGATCAGGTGGTATGCGTAAATGCATTTCCCGACAATAAAAAAAAAAAAAAAAGGTTAGAACATTTAAGATTATTTATTTATTATTCCTCATATCTGGGTTAGGTTAGGTTAGAACATTTAAGATTATTTATTTATTATTCCTCATATCTGGGTTAGGTTAGGTTAGAACATTTAAGATTATTTATTTATTATTCCTCATATCTTGGTTAGGTTAGGTTAGAACAGTTGCCACAACGCACGAGCCGAGCGAGCGAAGCGAGCGTGCCGCGGTAGCGGCCGGCGAGTGCCATAAATGACTAGAAAACTAGAAAATTCGAATTTCACGTAAAGTACAAATAAAGACAATCATCTGGAGATCATTTTGACAATTGAAAGTGACGTTTTGACTCCAAGTGTCTAAATGGTAGTAATGTCAAAATAATGTATGGAAATGTTGTAACTTTAAGTCTCAATAACTTTTACTCATACGTTCGCGGACAATTT